TAGTACTATGATTATTTTTTTTTGTATGTTGGTATTGTATATTTAATCTGTACCAATTTCAATTTCTGTTGCTGAAGAAAGCAGCCCACTTATTCAGATTAAAAATGTCTAGGAAATGCTTGGTTGTTGCTTGGACACAGACTACAGAAAATGTCTTTTTTATCTTCCTATTGACCCTTGAACCCTAGTAATCTGGAAATATGATGGTGTTTTTAAAATTACGTATTAAAATTAAAATTATATGCATGTGTATGCATTCAGACTGTGTCCCTTCTTTATAAACTAGAGAACATGCAACAAAATCAAGAGCGAGAAAACTGATTAAGCCAAATTTGGAGCTGAAATGTTGTAAGATTAATAATGGCCACCAGTACATTGTAACATACTGACACTCTTCTGTGATGTTCTGAGGTACACAGCCAGGCAGATCAGCTGAGAATAAGGATTTTCAGTACACCTTTTCATCCCTCCCCAGAAAACCTAAATATTTATCTAACAAAAATAGAAAGATGAATATGCATTAACAACTCCAGCTGCATCAAAAGTAGTATTTAAAACTCTTTTATACTCAGTGAAGGCAAAAGATGATGCTTTTGCTTTACATACTCAAAAAACAGTGTGAGAGCTTTGAAGTACAAAATTAATTAGTGTCTACTTACATTTCTTTTACTTAACAAAACTGGCTTTTAATTTGGATTACCTTGTTGAAAGACAGGGTCCTAGGTCAGTTTGCATAGCAGAGCCTATGAACTGGTCGTAGTGTTTATAAAACTAAAGATTTTATCTTTATTTTCTGTAAGTGCTTTAGTCTTACTTTATCTTTTTTCACTTCATGTCCTTTAAATTGCACAGCATCCCAAAACTCCAGTAAAATATAGATGGTAAAGAAAATCCCCCCTCCTGGTTTTATTACAGGTTAAATTTTTGTTTAAGTCAGGTAGCTAACTCAGGTGCTTAAAATAATTGAGACAGTACTCCTGTGAAGTGTTGTGTGGTTCTCAGTATCCTCTGTTCCTTTATACAACCCAAACATTCTATGATTCTTTAACTATTTCTTTCTGAAAAGGGAATTGCAAGCAAGCTGAACTTGTAATTGGATTAGATTGGCCTTTTGCTACCTGGACTTTGCACTCTGCAAACATGATACTTTTCATTTCAGCTACCATGAGTGCCCATGAAGAAATCTCCAACAATAACAAACTGAAGCTCATTGAAACCCTGCAGACAGGAATATGCACTCCTTCTAGGTATTAGGGTTATTTGGCTGTGACAAAAATAGGATTAGCAATAGTAGTGCACTAAGACCAAGATACAGGTAGTGTCTACCCTTGTTACTTTGGCAACAGATAGAAAGCCTGAAGATTGTGCACATATAAAATAATATGTAAATGTGCTCATGCAGAAGGATGTAGCACCAAGGAACATCTCACGGGTCTTCTGTGGCTTCTTAAAATTGCTGTCTGCAACAGTGAAATCACAGTAGGATTTTAATACTTGAATGCAGAAAGAAAAGTTTTCACCTGGGAATGGCAAGAAGCTGAGGAAAATTCTGAACCAAATCCTAAATAGACAAGTATCTTCTAAAACTTGTGATTAATACAGATCATAGAAGGGTTATGGGGCATCTTCAATACTTCAGAATTAGGTGAGAAAGGTAGGAAATAAAGATTTCTAATTCCTACACTAATAACACAGTTAGTAATTTTTGGATTTTGAAGGCAGTCTTCTGTACTCATTTCTTTATTAGCCTTTTTTGTCCCCCTTTCAGTAGTTAAAATTTCTGAAATAAGTACTTGTAGTTTATCTTCACCGAAAGTTGCTGCGGTAAAACACAAGGGCTGCTCCCCTCAAAATTAAAAGATTTTTCCTTTCTTCCTGTGCTGGTGTACACCTTTCTGCTCACTCTAATATAGTAACTATCCTGTTACTGTTAGTCTAAGAATTGGGCTGTTGAAAGGCAGCTGCCTTAGTTGAAGCACTTCACTGAGCCGATCGTAGTCAGTTTCTGAAGGCTGTATAGGTTGCACTGAAAAGTCACGAACATGTTCAGACCTTTCTGGGTGAAATTTTAAGCACACTAAAAATCTAAACATGATTAATAGCTCATGCTGCACCAGGAAGGGACTTACAATGTGTGGTTTATGATGCTCAAGCAGTGATACCTTCTTAATAAGGACATATCTGTTTATGTCATTTTTCAGGTATGATAAAGCTCATTCTTTTATATAGCATGTTTCATCTTGAAGTTTCCTAAGCACTTATGAAATCATACAGTGCTGTAGATAATGTTGAATGTATTCACCTGTGAAACACAGCATTGTTCATTAGCATATAGGAATCAAACCAATAATTTAGAACAGAAAATGGTGAGGAATGTCTTATATATCTATACCTTATATGAAATTAAATGGATAATTCAGGACAGCAGAATTCAACTATCTACTCTCAGATTTGTCAAGAAAGTTAAAGTTGATACTCTTGTCCTTACTGAAAGAGCAATGAAATGCAGGTCCTCTTTTTTTCTTTTTCCTTTTTTTTTGTTTCAGTTTCTAATCTAAATGAGCTAGTGTCCTCTTGAATCCTCCTAAAATGGTGTCATTACTTTGCTAATTATACTGCAGAAGAAATCAGGATTACTGCAGAATAAAACCTCAACTGTTTCCTTAGCAATCTCTTAAACTAAAAATAAAAGAAAAAGAAGAAAGAAAAATCATTGTGAAAAATTGCATTCTCCTGCCAGGTGCAAAAGTTTTCAAGGTTTTTTGTTTTTTGGATTTTTTTGGTTTTTGTTTTTTGTTTTTTTGTCTGTAGCGTGGGGTCAGCCTTTATTTTGCAAGTGTTCTTGTTCACACTCAATCTATGCTTTGTTGTATTGTAAATTATACACTTCAGTACATACCCTGACTTGTCCTTTAAAATAATGAAGTGCACTGCTTTTATTTGTTTTTACATAATGTGCAGAATAAAGCCACAAATCAAAATTGGAGATCATTTCACTGTCACTTGGAATGTTAATCCAACACATGACTAGTTCTTATTTTTCGTGTGTACGCCTTTTGAGAATCAGATGTCTATAGATAGTATTACTTGAAAACAGATGTTTTTGATAAATGGAATAGTACAGGACATCTTGTAAAAATTTCTGTCTGTTGTTCAACCAGTACGCACAGTCATTTGGAAGGACCTTTTTTATTATTTCTTCACTTCTATTGCATCTTGATCTTTTTTAGGCCATTATTCTCAGAGTGGTCTCATTACATGCTGCGGGTAATTGTCCACAGAGTTTTGTGACCTCATTCTAGCTATTAGCTTTATGATCCAGTCAGTAGTCTTTAGATCCAGACATTTTGCCAACACTCTGACAAGGGCCAATCTAGAATTGTTGTCTTAAAAAATTTAAGCAAGCCGCTTTTCTTCTTTAGGTGAAAGAACTTGCTTTTTCTCACCATAGGCACATGATGAAAGGAAATAAACTTAGTCAAATACTTTTACATACACACCTGCATATAAGCATCTCTATCTACATGGCAAATAAATTCATTTTCTAGATTTTTCTAACTGAGTAGTTTGAAAACACATTTGTTATGGTTGTGTCAAAATAACCATGTTACCAAAAAAAAGTAAAAAAACAGGTAAAAGAAAACCTAAGAAAGTATTTTTCCTGTTTATGCTTCAATCAAATCCCACCTACTAGAACTTGTAAATAAATCATTTCCATATCATGAAGCCCATATAGCAGAAGTGTTTTGGAAAGAAGTCCTTTTGGAAGAATAATTCCATCCTTCACATTCTGCAGTATAAATGTCCCGTAGAGAGATGGAGGACTGCAGTCCCTAGGCTTGCCAATTCCTTATCTTTTTTGGAAGTTAAATTAATATTTAAAGCTATTTATTCAAAGTTGACTTAACCACTAGAAAAGGAAAGATCAGACAAATCAGTTGCAAGAAATGAAGTATAAGGAAACCAGAACTCTTTGACAAAGTATTCCTTGGAGTAAATGTGTTGAATGAAGCCAGCGAGTAAATGATAAGGGCCTTTGCGCTCTGGATGTGAGAAAGCAATTTATCAAGAGTACATGAACTCTCCAGTGACCAAAAGCCAAAAAGAAACCAAAGTACATGAGAAGAAGTCCCTATTCGATTATTTTAAATACTCAGAAAAAAAATTTAAAAAAAAAAAAAAGCAGTCAGAAGCGTAGGTGCTGCAACATGCTCCGTAAAATAGAAAAGGAAATTAAATGTAAACAGATACAAAATATAGCATGTAATGCCATTTACAATTTCATAATGCTTTACTTCATAAGGGGTTAAGAATTACCTGCATCCTACAAACCTCCTCTCCCCTCATCTCAAAATTAGTCATGTTGCAGTGAATAATACGAAATTTGCACCAAATAATAAAACAAACTAATGTGTGCTACTTAGTAGCTGAATGAAGTAGCAGTGAAGACATAGGTCTAAGTTTTTAACGCATTTAAGACGCCTGTTTTCTTTTCGACTCCGGAAGATAAATCTGAAATCTTTTATGGTCCCAGTCAATTCTGTGCAGTTCCAATGTTGGTCTTCAGTTAATTATTAATTTTTCATATATTTTTTTAAACTGAGGAGTATGATTGTGGATGCCCCGTCCCTAGAGACATTCAAGGTCAGTCTGGATGTGGCTCTGGGCACCTTACTGTGGTGGTTCGTGACCCTGCACATAGCAGGGGGGCTGAAACTGGACGATCACTATAGTCCTTTTCAACCCAGACCATTTCATGATTCTGCAATTCCCTCTGAGACTCATGTGAACACCATTCTGCTCTGTGGTTAAAAGTTAATTAACGCCCCTTGGAAAATGGGACTGTTTTGGAGTGTATTTGTGGTAAAGGATCACCCAGGTGAATCTTTCTATAGAAAATAAGCACATCTACTTTATCTGATGTGATTACATGATTCTTTGGAATTATTTTCTTGCTTTCCTATTATCTCTTCCCTTATACTTAATCCCTTTTCTTTCAGCCTTGGACAAGCTTAGTACTCAGCACCTCTACCACCCAACCCAAGTGGAGATCGTGCAGTCCAACGTTGTGTTTGACATCAGCAGCCTGATGCTTTATGGTACCCAGGCTGTGCCGGTTAGACTGAAGATACTACTTGACCGACTCTTCAGTGTACTGAAGCAAGAGGAGGTGTTGCATATTCTACATGGCTTAGGATGGACACTTCGAGACTATGTTCGAGGCTACATTCTTCAGGTAGGAAATAATATAAAGCGTGTTTACAAACCTTTTTAATTGACATTTTTTACACAGAAATATTCACTGTGCACCCAAAAGAAGAGAAAAATGTTAAGCACATTTCGTGTGCTGTGTTGAAGACTAATAATGATTTTGGCAAACTAAAAAATTCAATTTTTACCTAAGCTAAAAATATGCAGTCTCTGTTGTACTGTAGTGTGCACTTGTACTTGCTTATGCTTATTGTAGGAAATACCTTGAATACTGAGGTTAGGCTAACTGCAAGCCTGACTTGGTCATCTAAGGCAACTGGCATATTTTCAAGGGCTACTGTTCGATTTAAGAACGCAAGGTCATAATCATGAAACTATTTTCTTCTTATTTCTTTTCTTCTTTAGCATAATAGCAAATAAAATCATAGTTTTGTTGAGAGATGGCCCTATAAGGTGAGCTATCAGCAGCAAACTCTTATTCATAAGTCAGTTTCTAAAAAGATAGCTTTAAATCATGTTTTACATGTGGACCAGTTGAGGTAAATTATGCAAACAAAGCTCAAAATTTTAAGGACACAAAAATGAGGGGGCAAGCTTACATTATAAATATGGCCAGTAATATACTTACTGGCCTTGCTTACCTGAAAAATCATATTGTCATTTGAATTCAGAAGTGAATTATTACATTTTACAAGACTGTTTGACAGAGAATGTGATACCATATATTTCAGTGTGGGATTTCTGCATCCAGTTATTGAAGTAAATGTATGTGAAAAACTAAAAATTCTAGTTTCTGATTAGTTCTTTACTTTCTTAGGCAATGAAAGTTTGCTTGGCCCTATACAGAAAATGTGGGAATTTTTATTTCCATACTGAAGAATTCTGACTGTATTTCTTAATTCTTCTTCAATTTCCTGTCTTTTGTGTGAAAGAAATAAATTAACCCTGCCTAAATACATAGCAACTTTAATATTCTGTGTTCTTGAGTATTTTCTTAAATGCTCTATAGATAGATTTTTCAGAAAAGTGTTCTGAATTGTAGAGCAGTCATAAAGAAAGAGTAATAAAAAGGCTATTATTATTGTAATGAGATCCTATTATTAAGATACATACAAAAGTGGAGTTCTTTAATGTTTTAGAAATCTCTCAGGCATCAGCATCTATTTTATAAAAGCTAAATGTTACACATTTGTACATTATAAATATATGTTTTTGTTCTGTTGCCAGAAACAGTGGCTGGATGGCCATGCACAAAGAGTTGTGGTCACTTGAGTTAAATCCAGTTGGCATGTGGTCATGAGTGGTGTACCCCAGGGCTTGGTCCTTGAGTCGCTTCTATTTAACATGTTTATTAATGATCTTGATGAGAATATTGAGTGTACTCTCAGTAAGTTTGCAGATGACACCAAGCTGAGAGGGAGTGTTGATCTGCCAGCGGGTAGAAAGGCACTATAGAGGGACCTGGATAGACCAGATCGATGGACTAAGGTAAATTGTACTGGTTTCAGTAGGGCCAAGTGTCAAGTCTTGCATTTTGGTCACAATGAGAAGGTCAGCCAACCCTACAGGATTTGGGAAGAGTAGCTGGAAAGCTGCCTGATGGAGATAGACCTTGGTGTACTGATGGACAGTTGGCTGAATATGAGCCAAGAGGGTGTCCAGATGGCCAAGAAGGCCAGTGGCATCCTGGTTTTTATCAGGAATGGTGTGGTGAGCAGGAGTAGGGAAGTCATCCTGCCCCTGTACTCGGCACTGGCGAGGCCTCGCCTCGAGTACTGTGTTCAGTTTTGGGCATCTCCGTACAGAAGGAACACTGAGGCACTGGAGCAGGTCCGAAGAAGGACTACAAGGCTTGTGTAAGGGCTTGGAGAATGTGCCCTGTGAGAAGAGACTGAAGGAGCTGGGGCTGTTCAGTCTGGGGAAAAGGAGGCTTAGGGGAGACCTTATTGCTAGGGGAGACCTTATTGCTCTGTTCCAATACCTGAAAAGTGCTTACACCTTTCAGAGAGCGGGGTTGGTCTGTTCTCACTGTTGATAGGTAGCAGGATGGGGGGAAATGGCCTAAAGTTGCACCCGGGTAAGTTTAGGTTGGATGTCAGAAAACACTTCTTTAAAGAAAAGGCTGTTAAGCTCAGGAATTCACTGATTTCACAATTCACTTCACAGTGAGTGAATTCACAATTCACTCACTTCCCCAGGGAAGTGGTTGAGTCACCATACCTGGATGTGTTTAAAAACCACTTGGATGTGGTGCTCAGGGACATGATTTAGCAGAGGGTTGTTAGAGTTAGGGTAGTATGGTTAGGTTGTAGACTTGATGATTTTTCATCAAGTCTTTTTCCAATCTGAACAATTCTATGATTCTAATAGAACTTACATGTTAGTATATATATGGAATATTCATACATGTACAGATAGATCTCTATAGGTGATTGTATGATATATATGCATGCATATGTATACATGAATATTTTGTAAGATATATTAATTTGGATAGATAAATGATGGATATATAAACTGATAAATACTGCATTGCATTTAGTTTCCAGGATTCTGAATGTTGCTTACCAAAATGGATGAAAAAATATGATTTGCAAAGGAATTCATGTTAAAAAAGGCATAATTCCTAGGACGTAACTTTAGAAAATGAACATTTTATTAAATGCAGTGACTAATAAGTCACTGCATTAGGGATAACATATTATAAATGTAGACTTTTGTGTTCCCTTAGGACAAGAAGACTGAAATAAGTAGTTTTCTTGTTTTAAAAATTGTGGAATCAGGTCTATATTGATTTCGTTTTAATTGTGTGTTGTAATTACTTCAATGTATGCAAGAATGGCTTGTAATATAATTACAAAGAGGTTTATACAGTCAGGCTGTCATCTATGTATCTGAGTGGTGAGAAGACCATAATATACCATTAGATCAGAGTTCGGCTTATCTGGTTAGAACTCACAGTATAGCCCTCAAGGCATGAATTTTAGCATTACTGCATTCAGCAGCAATATATTGGGTATTATGTCAGTTAAAGGAGAACAATTATCAGTGGAAATAAATGGCAGCTGTTAATCTTACCACATATTGAGTTGGTTAGCTCGTGGCTGTGGATTGTGTTAGTGGGCTGATGAAGACCTTCCATAGGCATAGTTAAACCTGCCTGCTAAGTTTAGCTCTCGAAATCAAGGAAATAGTTGAGTGACTGAAGGGATCTCCAAAAATCATCTACCACACCCTGCTCAAGCAGTGTCACCTAGAGCTGTTTCCCCACATCCATCCTCCAACAGCTTTTGGAGATCTTCAGGGATGGGGACTCCACAACCTCTCTGAGCAAAAATGTGTTTGGTCTGCAATAAAGTTAGGAAGCTCAGTATATTACAAAGAAAGGCAATCTGCTCCTTTTAACGTACTGTGAGAAAAGTTTTGGGAAAATAACCAGATCTCTGATAATAAAGAAGGCTTCTTTAAGAAGTAGTTCTTTTGAACTATCTGATAGAAGGAAAAGAGGGAAATGCAGAAGAATGAGGAAGGAAATGCTAGTATCACTACCAGAGTGCACACTAAGAAAAACTACAGGTATTATCAAGCAGAAGGTGTTCCATGAACCTAAGAGAAATGATAGAATAATAGTGTTTCTAAATAGCAAATTAAGAAGCAGTTTGGGCAGAGAAAAATGCCGTATTTATTACTTCATTCAGTGGATGTATTAATGGACTGCAGGAAGTGAAGGAACCCTGAAGCCAGCAGAGGTAATGTGATACACTACCTTTCACATTTGGACAGTCACAACCTTGCCAGTAATGGCTGAAAGACATTAAAACCTGGCATGTTTTCTCCAGACTCTCCCCAGGCCTAATGTCTGGTGAACATATACCAATCTCTCAAACATCACTGACTGACAGTTGGGTCAGCTGTCTGATCAGGTGGGTCATTGGATAAATATTTTAGTGGAGGAAATTATGACTCCCTTGTAGAAATAATCTTCCCAACCCCATCAAGAAAAAAATAAATAAATAAAAATAAAAATTCAGAGGGAATCTTTCTGGACTGTGGGCTTGTAAATCACTGCAGTCTAGAAGTTTTTTTTATCTTTTACCTATCATTGAGGAAGTAAGTTGATGTATTTGGTTCGAAACTGTAAGTGAACCTGAAAGTTTTCTCTCTGGAATCAGCCAATGCAGCAATTGTCTTTGCATAACAGCAAATTATTGTCAGCAACATTAGCTGCTTTGGGTCATATTCAGCACCTGCTACTTAGAAATGCAATTAGTAACTCAAGTGATGTTGGTGAGGTTACTTTTGCTGTAAAGAGCAGCACTACTGTGAGTAGGTCTCCAGCTCTGGTTTGGTTCCAGCTGAGCTGAGTGAAGATGTAAGTCTGCCAGCTGTTCTTCTCTGCTCCCCACTGGAAAATACTTCACCCTTCTCATTTGCTAGTGTAACTACGTGTGCAATGACTCCCTAGCCCAGTTCCCTCCAAAGGAGCTGGGTTAGAAAAACCCTCCTGCTAAGAGTATACAAGTTAACTCTGATTATTCTGAGAGGTAAGGGTTAGAACAATTATACCACTAGAAATGAACAGCTGGGGCATTCGACTTTTAACTGCAGACAGCAGGACATGTGACCACAACATACAGGCTATAAACTGACCCTATGGAAGTACTGATTCAATGTTCTATTTTCAGTAATAACTCAACACCCCTTTAACTCTCTCTTGATCAAGTAGTTGTATTCCCTTAGAGTAAAGGAGAAAAATACATACTATTTCTGCAGTAAAAGGAGGGAAGAAGAAGCACGGAATATTTAAGTGATCAGTTATTTGAAGAATAATTTCACTTTTACCATCATTCCTCTTTAAAAAATTAAATTATAAACAGTAGCTCATAGGCATCTTGGATGCTAGACTCTCTGTTGCTGCTCCCTGTCACGAGAAATAAAACATTTCCCTCACTATCTGCCCCTACCTACATCCCCCCCTGAAAAAGAAATGCACAAAAAAGCTGGAAAATCATGAGTACAATATGG